CGCTGATAGTCTGTGGTACCCCACCCCAGTGTCTCATTGTGTCTGTTACAGTCTGGCCTGGTCTTATCTCATCAACCAATACATCCCCTGTTGGCATGTGTGTGAAGTTAACCCCACACATTTCCAATGAAATTATTGTATTATTTAGTGTCATTGTCCTGCCTGCGGTTGTTGTTGTTGTTGAAAACTACCAAGTTGTGGGGGAGTTATCACCCTTCTGGTCACCTCCAGTCGGTCGCTGGATGTTCAGTAATGTTTTAAACTGTTTAACCTACAGCAGAGGTCTCCAGTCTTTTTCAGGTGGCAAACCCCCCCCCCCCCCTTTTTTTTTTCCCTCTCAAGTATATGGCAAGACCATTTCTCCTTTTTTTTTCCAACATAAAAAAAATGTGATTACAAAGAGAAAGAGAAGAGAAAAATCCCCAGTGGGGGAAATAGAGCCGCTGCCCCCTAACACGCATGACTAATGAGGTGAAATCGGATGTGATAGGCCAAAAGACACAAATATCACAGCCTAGCTTGTATAACACAACACAATGTGCCAGCCACCCTTTTAAGGACCAATACAACAGAAAACATACGGTGATGGTCTGTTTTGTATGCAGTCATTTTTGATTGTGCCATTTTTGTGATGTTTGCGTTGATCTGACGCAGATCACATCTGTTGTTTCAGATCAACACTGGTCACAATACATGGTGTTCTTGACCGTATCATAAGTGTTTATTGAACCACTGGAGTTGTCCGCCGCTCTGTAGATCATTAGCTGACCTGTGCAGACAATCCCATGGTGTACAGATTCCACCTTAACAAACAAATTTGGCCCACTCTATACACGCATGCTTTATGAGGTGAAATCGTAAGTATAAGTAAAGACACCCTTTTCACGCCTTTCGGTATAACGGGCACAATGGGCAGAGCGTTCCTTATTTTTACCAAGACCAACAGAAAAACTCTGTGATGGTGTTGTGGTATGCATTTTTTAATTGTGCCATTCTTTGACTTTGCCCATCTGACAGCCCATCCTGGTACCCATTTTAGGCTGGGTCGACATGTGACTTGACCGTACCACGATAAAAATTTATTGCAGCCTGCAGTGGGTTTCGATCGCGGTATGCTGGTTTAGCGAGTATGACTCGACAAACGGGTTAGCCCTTACCTTAACAGGACGCATACAGCTTTAGAGGAGTGGCTGGCCGAAAGGTCAAGAAAGCTGGCAAAAATAATTTAGAGGCAACAGCACTTAGCATTGAAGCCCTAAATCCTCAGACTCACAGACACCTCCACCCCCTCCCCCACATCAAGTGGTAGATGCAGGCTGTAGTATGAGTTTAGTGGTGTACAGCTTGGCTTTCGAAAGTACCAGGTGGAAAAATTATGGGAAGCAAAGGTAGTGAGAATATGAGCTGGTCACTTCAGCTCATATTACTGTGCCCCAGAATTTGTGAAGGCGTATAATTCCATGTTTTACTGGCATCATCTGCCATGGGATAATACTGTGTAATAATTTTAGAATATTTGCTTCTTGTACAAAAATGTGATTGAATTGTGACAATTATTAAGTGACTGCAACTGGTGAATATTTGTTTACGAATGTTGAAAGTTTTTATTTTTATTTTGATTCTTTGCAGCATTACTCTGCTTTTTTTTTTTTTGTATCCATGTTGCACAATAAATGCTCAGTTTGTTGGTTTGGAATATTGAAATCACCTGAACAACCATTCCCAGATTATAAGACAGTCACATATGTAAGCATAGCACTAGAATATACAGTGCAGAGCTGATAAGGATAACTCACCAGGACCCAAGAAGTGGTTCTTCCTATCAGAAATTCCTCTTATACAGATAAGAATTCAAGCAGGAAAATTTGCCGGGGATAAACAAATTATTCTTTACAACAGAAACTTGCCAAGTATGAGATCACCTCGAGCGGTCTGCATCATATCCGTGAAGTCCCTAATGAGGTGTGGTCCTGTTACTGGACCTAGCAGCACAATATCTAGTGACTGGACTCAGCAAGACCTCAGCTGCTGTCTCGGATCATTAGTGTTTCTCTACTACCTTGGTAGTCAAGAGGTAGTAGTAGCTTTGTTGTGTCTTCTCTTCTTGTGGTGTAGGGAAATCTTGTGGTCTTGTCTCTTCCGTCTTGTGGCATAGAGAAATCATGCAGTCTTGTCTCTTATATATTGTGGCATAGAGAAATCTTGCAGTCTTGTCTTTTATATCTTATGGCAAAGAGCGATCTTTTCTTGCCATAGATTTACAACTTGATTTGGTGGACCAAGGTCACTCAGAGCTTTGCTATCACTGTTAACACTGGTACTGTAGTCTGCCTCTGCAAATAGATCAGCCAGGTGAGTTGTTAGAGTACCTCTGGGGCTGTTCAAATTCTCTATAAACTCACAGCTATTGATTGGTAGTTCATGGAAGTAGGGGAAGCATGGCAAGTTTGATGACATTATCAACCTTCCTTAAAATCTGAACTACAGGTAAAAAAAGTTCACCAGCCTTCTAAACCCGGTGACACTGTCAAAGGTCTTAGGTCAAACAGAAAGTTGGTCTGCACACTGCAGGGCCACTCAGTGGCAAACACTACCTTTATTTATACTTGATCCAACTGATCTTCCTAGCAAAGCCACAGAATGTTTTCTTGCAGTTTTATTTCTCGTCATCAGTTATCTTTACACTGCCTGGTTAAATGTGAAGATTGGGGTCTTTCTAATGAAACTTGTGTAGATATTTTAGTTGTGCTTCTCATTAGATATTTTTTCTAACATTGTCTCAATCACAACCACACATCTGTGGTAGAATCTGACACTGTCTTAATCACAGCCACACACTTGTGGTAGAATCTGACATTGTCTCAGTCACAACCACACATTTGTGGTAGAATCTGACACTGTCTCAATCACAACCACACATTTGTGGTAGAATCTGACATTGTCTCAATCACAACCACACATCTGTGGTAGAATCTGACACTGTCTCAATCACAGCCACACACTTGTGGTAGAATCTGACATTGTCTCAGTCACAACCACACATCTGTGGTAGAATCTGACACTGTCTCAGTCACAACACACATCTGTGGAGGAATCTGACATTGTTTCAATCACAGCCACACACTTGTGGTAGAATCTGACACTGTCTCAATCACAACCACACATCTGTGGTAGAATCTGACACTGTCTCAATCACAACCACACACTTGTGGTAGAATCTGACATTGTCTCAGTCACAACCACACATCTGTGGAGGAATCTGACATTGTCTCAGTCACAACCACACATTTGTGGTAGAATCTGACATTGTCTCAGTCACAACCACACACTTGTGGTAGAATCTGACACTGTCTCAATCACAACCACACACTTGTGGTAGAATCTGACATTGTCTCAGTCACAACCACACATCTGTGGAGGAATCTGACATTGTCTCAGTCACAACCATAAATTTGTGGTAGAATCTGACACTGTCTCAATCACAACCACACACTTGTGGTAGAATCTGACACTGTCTCAATCACACATTTGTGGAGGAATCTGACACTGTCTCAGTCACAACCACACATCTGTGGAGGAATCTGACATTGTCTCAGTCACAACCACACATTTGTGGTAGAATCTGACACTGTCTCAATCACAACCATATATTTGTTATAGCCACTGAAGTGTTTTATAGTAGCCCAGCATTGAGTGGCAACACAAGCAGACAGTTCCTGATTTCTCATCTAGTGCCAACACCTCAAAACCTTTTAGGCAACTGTAGCTGCCTGTCAAGACAGATCACCAGAATGTTCAGTCAGTTCAGTTGCCTGGTTGTTTCAGCCACCATAATTTTGTGTTATTTGATATTTGATTCTTGTAACAATACCAGATGTTGTTTTTGTTCTGATTCATTCATTAAGCATTTGGTCTGCCATTAGGGGAACATGCTAGGAGATCTTGTGTAGGACTCATTGAATGAGTGTAGTTTCCTTCATTTACTGTGATTTTTTTTTTTTTGTCAAGTTATATTATGGCTCACATTGCTGGTTTCTTATCAACATATTACATTGTTTTTCAAAGTTTGCATTACTGACATTTGTTTTTTATTTGTGTTTGTCAGTTTTGATCTTCAAGAAGCATTGGATACCTACCTGTGACTAAGGAAGCCTGCTATGACGTGTTTTATCTCTGGCTGTGGGGGGTAGTTTAAAACTGTGCCATAGGAAGCTGGCTTCTTGTTCACATCACAACCTCCCAGTGAGGATTACCAGTTGTTTTAATTAAATAAGCACAGGATTTTGGCAATTAGTTTACAAACTGGCTACACACACCCACTGATGTCTGCAGTGAGTGATACATGACATGCTAGATTTTGTAAAGGTCTTTGGGAGCGAGTAAACAGTGTGGAGGCACAGACAGATCATCACGGTCTGAAGAGAACGGTCCAGTGAGGAGTGACCAGGGAATCTGGTCAACACTTAGGGGAGGAGTGACCAGGGAATCTGGTCAACACTTAAGGGAGGAGTGACACCGACATTCATATCAGACTTACTGGTACCACAAGAACAGGAACTCTGTGTTTGCTGCTGAAGATGAGGATCGAGCATGGATGAGAATGTCCAAAGTGCTATCTTCTTTCTTCTTTGCGTTCTCCGGCTGTAAACTCTGGTGGATAGTTCTGGTTGTTCGTCCACTTCTGGACTGCAGTCCTGTTCCAGAACCTGAGTGTTGCGTGTGCATCCGTTTGACAGACCTGACACATTTATGTGCAGACTGTTGGTTCCTTGCCTCTCAGGCAGATGCACTCCGACTTTGAAGGAAACTTCCAATTAGTCGACACTTACGACGCGCTTTTGGGTAGGCAGTGGGTTTATTTTTGTTTTCCCCACAATAGGGCCCCAGAACCCACACGGGGGCCAAGTGCTATGATATTGGTTCTTAACTTACATGACATAAACAAACTCAATGGAACCACTGACTGAGATAGATATAGAATGTTTATTCATAGTCTCAAGCTAGGAAGTGGTCTCATTGTGTCGTGAAGCTTTGAATTTGGACACACGCTTGGGGGGCGGCAGTCCGGCTGAAGCACCAGTTGCTGTTGCTGCACAGGATGATGATGAATCAGTGGTGGTGGCTGCTGGCGGCAAGTTGGAAATCTTTTCTACAACAAAACCTGTAAATGCCTGAAAGGAAATTGTTTACAGTCATTACTGCTGGGTGACTGATTATTGTTGGGTGACTGATTACTGCTGGTGACGGATTACTGCTAAGTGACTGATTATTGTTGGGTGACTGATTACTGCTGGTGACGGATTACTGCTAAGTGACTGATTATTGCTTGGTGACTGATTACTGCTAGTTGACTGATTATTGCTTGGTGACTGATTACTGCTAGTTGACTGATTATTGTTGGGTGACATTACTGCCAGTTGTATGAGTATTGCTGGTTGACTGATTAGTGCTAGCTGACTGATGGGTGACTGATTAAAAATTACTACTGGCTAGAATTCACAAGTCTGGGAGATGTGGGGGGTTTGTTACTCTATGATTGCAGGCCACAGGATTAACACCCCATGGAGGATAATCCTACCTGTACAAATCCTGGAAAACCCTGTTTGACCATCAGGTTATATTGGCGCCCCCGCTGGTTATAAAGTCCACACAGGCCAGAGTTCCATACCTGATCTTCTTCTTCTTCTTCTTCGAGCAACATTCCTTCTTCAGCATTCCTGATATCCTGCTACAAATGTGTTTATTTTCTCTCTTACATGTTTGTTTAGTTTTCTAATCCAAATGGCTCATTTGTAAAATGTGTCTGTCACATTTGTGTCTGAAAGCTTGAATCCCCCTTTCCAGTTTGTTAGTTTCCTGTTTAAATCAGTTTTCTTTTGAGGATTTTCAGAAATTTCTACAGGTTACCTAATGTTTGTAGCACTCAGGGGATGACAGCGTTGAGAACATTCTGGTAAAGGAGAAAAAAAAGTCGCTCCTACTAAGATCACTGATCTGCAAGGCACTTGCTATCTGATGATGTCTGACTGATAGATCAGTAGCTGAAGGTGTATGGCTGACACACACAGACAGCTCAAACTGGGATGCTTTTACAGCTCAAATATGGAAATATACTCACTTTACTTGCTGAAGACACTATCGACTGTGAGCTGGCAAATCCATCTTTCTGTGGTTGATGATCCACTTCTGAATTTACAGTGTAATCTCTGCCAACATGTGAAGTCTTCTTGCTCTTGTCTACGTTTTGTAGACTGGAAAGGCTGGATTCTGTCATCTGGTTACCATCTGAAAGGCCTACATTGTCCGGGGCCTTCTTTAAGATGGACTTTGGGCAGTACAGTTTGTAAATATCTGCAGGACAATGGACAGCTAAATCACCGCCTTCAGACACCTGGTGTGGCTGTTAGAATAAAGCCAAACAGAACGTATTAAAATACTTGGTTGAAAACTGTTTTCCTCTTCTTTCTCAAGTTACCTCATCAAGATGTTGGAGGAGATGTGAGGATCTATAGGATGAGATGTAAGGATCTATGTTGTCTTCTTCGAACCTTATGTCAGAAAACGTATCAGAAGGCCGGTAGCCTTAATGAAAGCTGTCATGCAGTCCATATCTTCTTGTGTACCATACCATTTTGTCTTCACTGTGGTTGGAACAGGCCAGAATGCATCTGTTGTCAGCATTCAGTTGACAGTGTTGCAGCACATGCTCAGCATTTTCTAGTGCCATGCTACAGGGACACGTTTCCATGTTTCCTACAATGAGATGTTTGAACATTTGCTGACGAAGTCTGTGGTGCCCTGTCTTAGTCTAAATAAAATACGTTTGTCCCTCTCTAGAAAGGCGATGAAGTGAGTCTTGAGAGAATTTGGTGTGTGTGAGATCTATGTGCTATTTCTAATGTGTAAATAAGTTGATCATTTCTTTAAGATTCTTCTTTGTTCCATCATTCTATCTTGTGTGTGTGGTCTTCCTCTCACTCTACGTGCAGTACATTTTTTCAGCCTGGCTCTCTATGGCAGAGGGTACCATGGAATTCTGATCACATGACCAAACCATTTCATTTGTTGCTCTTTAATAAATTGTATGACTGGTTTTAATCCTAGTCTTGATTGAAAACTAATTTATAGAAATGTACACCCTTACGAACATGCTAGAAGTATTCTCATTTGTTTTTGGTCAACGATTATTCTCCTTGCATACAAGCATGTCCACAAATGTGCTATTTTCATTACACAACTAGAATTTCAGCACAATGTATAAACTTCACGTCGTCAGAAAAGACCCAGATATCAGGGGACCTTGGAATGTGTCCACTTTGGCATACGTCCAAACTGGTATACGCCATGTCTAGATGCCAGAAATTGTTCTTGACGTATGGCCGTTGTTTGGAATACAAAATGAGTCAACAAACCATACACTATCCTTGTTTACCTCTCTCATTAATCAAGGAAATGTTTGTCACATGGATGGATGTAAACAAATTGTGCAGAGAAGTATCACCCCATTAAAGCCAGGACAAGCCTAACAACAAAACCTGATACACATGACATCTCTAACAACAAAACCTGATACATATGACATTTTCTATCGCTAACAACAAAACCTGATACACATGACATCTCTAACAACAAAACCTGATACACATAACATCTGTCACTGACAACAAAACCTGATACACATGACATCTATCACTGACAACAAAACCTGATACACATGACATCTCTAACAACAAAACCTGATACACGTGACATTTTCTATCGCTAACAACAAAACCTGATACATATGACATCTCTAACAACAAAACTTGATACATATGACATCTCTTACTAAAAAGAATACCTGATACACATGACATCAATCGATGACAACAAAACCTGATACACATGACATCTATTAACAACAAAATATGATACATGTGACATCTATCAGAACTCACCAAAACAAAAGGAGTTGGAGAATGTGTAAATGTGATAGTCTTTCTGAGAGGATTCCTGGGCATCCTTGTGTCCTCGTCATCATCACCATCATCGGCTTCACTGTCTGCATCATCATCATCATCTGTGTATTCACCACTAGTTTCATCACTATCTTGTTTGATGTTGTCTTCTTCTTTCAGTTCATCTGCCCAGTTGACTCTTCTCTCCGTGTGTGAGCGATTATCTGTTGAAGTGTTCTCTTTACTGTCTCCCTCCTTTTGGCTGTCATTATCTTCTCCATCTGACATACTAATTTTGAAAACAAAGATACAAATGAATAAATAAAAAAATCCCATAAGTAAAGGACCATTTTTTGCAAGACTCAGTTTTACAGACAAAGCAGAACTCTGTTGATGTGGTCAACATCACGCCGGCCACCTTTACTTCCCAGGACTTCAAACAGGTACCCATGTTAGGCTGGGTCAACCTGAGAGCCAAGGTCATTTAAGAAATAAATATGACTGAATATACACAGGGAGCCGCCATGGTCTAGTAGCTAGACGCTCAGCTCCGGATCGGAAGGTCGTGGGTTAACTCCCTGACAGAGCCTGATTTTTTTCACAAATGACTTTGGCTCCCAGGTTAACCCAGCCTTAAGTGGTTACCAGGTGCAGTCCTGGGAAGTAAAGGCGGCCGGCGTGATGCTGACCACATCACCCATCTTGTGCTGATAGGTCTATAAAATATAGGTCTAGCCCTATATGCCTTAAGGCATGGAAAAGGGTCCTTTACTTTCTTACATACAGATACACAAGCCATGATCTTCAGGCTGGCAGGTGGGTTTGCTGACACCTTAGCACAGGAATGGAGCAACTATGAGGGCGATACATTTGCTAACCAAAAGTTGGAACTGTCATTACCTAATCACCTGATAATTCAAGAATCTGAAAGTCTAGTTTTGCAACATCTCTTTCTTTTCCTCTATTTTCTTTTGGCTATAGTTATTCACATGGAGCCGCCATGGTCTAGTGGCTAGATGCTCAGCTCCGGATCGGAAGTTCATGGGTTCGGTTCCTGGCAAGAGCCGGATTTCTTTTCAAAAATGATCTTGGCTCCCAGGTCGACCCAGCCTTGAGTGGGTACCAGGTACATTCCTTGGAAATAAAGGCGGCCGGCGTGATGCTGACCACACCACCCACCAAGTACCGTTTGGTCTATAAAATATAGGTCTAGCCCTACATACCGTATAAGCCGGAAAGGTGTGGAAAAGGGTCTTTTACTTTACAGTTATTCACATCAGTTTGTTTTGGGGCTGGTGTCTAGGATTTCTCATCTTCTTGCTGAGTCGCTCATCGATAAAGGCTTTGACTGAAACACCCCCCCCCCCCCCCCCATCCCTTTCAAGTTGTCTTCTTCATATTCACAGGCCACAACTTCAACTCTTGTGGAAAGTCCAAGTTGTTTGTCCACTTCTGGACTTGAGTCTTATTCCAAGCTTTTTTGTTTTATTATTATTGTTGATTCCTCACCTCTCCAACAGATGCACTCCAACTTCAAATTAGATGCATAAGGCAGCCATCAGAAGTGCCAACACAAACAGTCTGAATGCAGCTGATCAGAGACGGAAGCAGCAGTTACACAAGATTAGTAGCCGCACATGTGATTAATCACATAAGACACCACCAGTTGTGTGGCTTCAGACCACTTGCTGAATCTACAGTTCACAATAAAAACCACTTTAGGTGCAGTCGAAAAGCAGTCCAAATGAAATCCGAAGCTTAAAGTGTCAGGCCATGCATTCAACTCAGGAGCCGGGCGACAGAACTATATAATTTCAGTCTACACATGGAAGAAAATGCAACAGCCAACTACTGCAAGATGCAAAAACTTACCATGACTAAAAACAGTAAACTTGTCTATCCTCCAAACTGATAGGAAGACCCTCTTTTTTAGCCTATCATATTTTAAGAATTTTCCTGCAACCTTTAGGTTCAAAAAGCCCTATTTGTTTTTTAAGTTATTGCAAAATGTTTCCTGACTCACATTTGCACCACTATGAGAAAACGTCTTTAGGATGCCCTTTGTTATCAGCAAAAAGATACCACAGGGTAGGGTACACATTGGCAACTTTAAATGGGTAGTAAATGAGGACAAGCATGCAGAAACCAGTTGCAGGGTAAAGAAAGAAAATATGCCAGTTATCTCCTAACTGCTACAGTGAGCATGGAGAGACTGAGACAGCTGTTGCATGGAAGGATGGTGTATGACTGGTTGGCATTGATGTGCTAAGATGTCTATGCGGAAACAAGTAACAAGAGTTTTAACAAAATTATTATTTAAAAGGACAGAAAGTTTCAAGGCTAAAACTATAAGTAGTGAACTAACGGCTGCAACCCTTACCTGCTCAGTTCCCCTCTCTGAACCTCCTGTCTCTCTAACTCATCAAGTCGGGACCACAGGTACTCATCTGTTTTCTGACTGTCTTTTTTCTCCTGAGAATTCTGCACGTCTTTTTGTCTGTCCTGTGAGTTTTCTGACACTGTGTTTCTTCTTAATTCCTCTTTGTACTTCTTAACATTTTCACGATGCTGCTCTGAAACACACACAAAACAAGGGCTAGGGTCAGGGGATTTAAAAAAATTATTCAAATACCTAAACTAAGTTAAGTTAGTTAGTTAGTTAGTTAGTTGGGTTATCATCATTGCACTCCGGACATGTCCATAGGTGCTCAGATCCTCCCCTCAGTATGAATCCCAACGTCCGATGGCTAATAGTACCAGTTCTATGTTGATTAACAAGTCTTCTGACGTGTCCGGTGTGCGTTTCGTTTTTTGCTGTGCCGATCTTAATTCCCAAGTCTGCCATTCTGGCGAGTGATGTGGATTCACTGCCACCAAAGTCCTCTATCCTTCCCATTTCTCTGAGGGCATTGATAATATCAGCATGATCCATAGGCCGACCGTCGGTAGTGATAGCGGATCCAGCCAACCTGTCAGCTCTTTCATTTCCATCGACGCCTGCGTGTCCCGGAACAAAAATAAAGGTGACTCCTCCTAAGTTAAGTGTTTATCATGAAACGAGATGAGGATGGAAGAAGAGATTAGGATTAGTAAATGTATTCTCAATGACTGGAATTGATGTTACGTTCTTCTTCTTCTGCCTTCTGTCCCCCAATGGAGCATAGGCCCTCAACCAACTCATGCAAAACTTGTTTTTAGCTTCACTCTTTAGTTCCCTTCTCCATGTGTTTTTTGATCTTCCTTTATTTCTATGCCCCTGTGGGTTCTAGTGCAAAGACATTCTAGTTATATTGTTCTCAGGTTTTCTGTTGAGAGAATGAAAGGAAAAAGATTTTTGTTGGCACTGGATCGCAAATTATTCCTTCCCACAACACTTAACGGCAGAAGTGGTTTATGATGATGACAAAAGCAATAGTTACAGAAACACTCATACAGAGACATACTGAAGACCATTTATGAATGAATGCTGACAGAAGACACGAGGTTCGATGCAATAACGGGTAACAATGAGTGAATGAGGAATGAGGTGTGGATCAAGCAAGGAGGAAGGTTGTGAGAGGAAGAGAACGACCTGTATAATCAGTGTCCTATCAGAAAAGTCAGCATCTACACCTGGAGAGATTTGCTGTGTACAATCAGTCAGCTCCCTTCTGAACTGTCACAGTGTCTCAAGTACAATCAGTCAGCTCCCTGCTGAGCTCTCAGTGTCTCAAGTACAATCAGTCAGGCCCCTGAAGAGCTGTCTTAGTGTCTCAAGTACAATCAGTCAGCCCCCTGCTGAACTGTCACAGTGTCTCAAGTACAATTAGTCAGCCCGCTGCTGAACTGTCACAGTGTCTCAAGTACAATTAGTCAGCCCGCTGCTGAGCTGTCTCAGTGTCTCAAGTACAATCAGTCAGCCCCCTGCTGAACTGTCACAGTGTCTCAAGTACAATTAGTCAGCCCGCTGCTGAGCTGTCTCAGTGTCTCAAGTACAATCAGTCAGCCCCCTGCTGAACTGTCTCAGTGCCTCACATACAATCAGTCAGCCCTCTGCTGAACTGTCAGTGTCTCATGTAGTCAGTTAGCCCCCGGCTGAACTGTCTCAGTGTGTCACGTACAATCAGCCAACCCCCTGCTGAACTGTTTCAGTGTCTCACATACAATCAGCCAGTCCCCTGCTGAACTGTTTCAGTGTCTCATGCATAATCAGTCAGCTCCCTGCTCAACTGTCACAGTCTCTCAAGTACAATCAGTCAATCCAGTTTTTGGAGTGTTTTTTTTCCCATCTGGTGGTTTAACAAATTTAAGGGCTCCGTAATATTATTTACAAAAGACAAACCTTCAACTTTAGGATGAAATTCTTGTTGCGATTCTAATAATAATAATTTAGAAATTATACATTCTCAAGCATGACTATTAAAAAGTAAGAGGTCCATTGCAGACCTCCGAAAATAAAAAAAGATCCACAGTCTAAGCTAATTAGGAGCCACTGAATTAACCATTATAATCTATAAAACTGTAATCCTACACACTACTGGCCTGATTTTGACCACATCCCCACACTGAAGGCCGCCTGGTCAATACAAATATGAGTCTAGTCCTATATTCCACGATGCGCCTCTGTTTACTTTTCAATGCAAACTAAAATAGCTTTAAAAAGAAAAGCTATGGCTAGTTTCTGCCCTACAACTGAAAAATGAACAAAAGAGTTTGCCATCAATGTTTACCATCCCAAAGTTTCTCCTTGGACTCGTCGTATTCTTCTATTATCTCCTTGACATCTCCATGACCCTGAGAAGTAAAAACGGCAACATCTGAATCAATTTGAGACACTAATGATCAGAACAGACAAGATGATGGCTACAACATGTTGTCTTTACAATTATGTGATTCGGTTTGTTTTCCCATCCAGCAGAGATGCTGTTTCTGAGAAGAAAAAAATAAACATCATGGAATTACAACAACAACAACAAAATTAGGCAGTCCTCCAGGTGAAAATAATAAAATGATTACAGATATGAGACACCGAAAGTCAACATTTGTTTCACAAGTCATGAAAAAGGCTGAACTTGAAAACTTGATGACAACCAATATGATGAACATATCATGAGAAAGAATAAACTTGAATACTTGATGACAGCCAACATGACTTGAAAAAAAAAAAAGCAAGGGAAAGACAAGCTTTGTATCTTCCCTTTTATCAAGTTTCCTAGCTGCTGTGTGCGTGAGTGTGTATATATGTGCACATGTGCGTATGTGTGTCTGTAGTATGTGTGTCTGTATGTGTGTGTGTGTTCTGTCATTCTAACCTTCCAGTAAGCTTTGAGTACACAAACCATTTGTATCCAGACAACATTCATTGATGACTATGGCAGAAATTGTGGGCAGCCAATAAACCCCAGCTCAACAACTGGAACCCAAGCCATTTGCACTGCTCCACCTCCCACACGACAGTCATGAAATGAGCATGTTAACAAGACATGTTTTCACCTGTATTTCTGCCTGCAAGTCTGAGGTAAAACCAAGTCGAGGCTGGAGTAATTTCTGTTGGGCTTTCAGATCTGTGAGTTGCTTGTCCAGCTCTGTAGATAAGACATAAACATTTGAGTATTTCTTTTCCAGCACTGGAGATAAGAATAAACATTTGAGTAATTCTTGTCCAGCTCTGTAGATAAGACATAAACATTTGAGTATTTCTTGTCCAGCTCTGTAGATGAGAATGAACATTTGAGTATTTCTTGTCCAGCTCTGCAGATAAGACATAAACATTTAAGTATTTCTTGTCCAGCTCTGTAGATAAGACATAAACATTTAAGTATTTTTTGTCCAGCTCTGTAGATAAGACATAAACATTTAAGTATTTTTTGTCCAGCTCTGTAGATAAGACATAAACATTTGAGTATTTCTTGTAAAGCTCTGTAGATAAGACATAAACATTTGAGTATTTCTTGTAAAGCTCTGTAGATAAGACATAAACATTTGAGTATTTCTTGTCCAGCTCTGCAGATAAGACATAAACATGTGAGTATTTCTTGTCCAGCTCTGTAGATAAGACATAAACATTTGAGTATTTCTTGTCCAGCTCTGTAGATAAGACATAAACATTTGAGTATTTCTTGTCCAGCTCTGTAGATAAGACATAAACATTTGAGTATTACCAGAAATCATTTACTGCTTTATCTCTTATTTTATACGCAACTGCAGCAATGATGGAGCTCTTGATACTGACACTGAGCAGGTTTCTGCATTAGATGATGAAGCACAAAAAGGTCGGATCAAAATGTTAGGATGTTGATAGATAACAAGTAACAACAATTTCTGTGACTGATGCAAGAGGACTTTGTTAAGAAAGTAATGCCCTTCGATTATTTTCCCAGTAAATAATGAAAACATAAACATGCTATCAGGCGATAGCAGAAGATATCAGGAGAAAGTTTAAAGTTTGAAAACAACTGGCAAACTTGAGGGGGGGAACAAAACAAGGAGTTGTCAAAGCAATGAATACATATTGACATGGCTTAGCCATATGGCATTATTATGACAAGCACACAGAACTGATCTGAGATTCTAGAAATCCTGGCCACCCATAATTATCGGTGTGACAACAGATGATGATGAAATAAATAAATCACCTTTAATTCGTCTGTCAACGATGTCTCTGGCTTGTTTTGCTGACCTTTCCACAAACCAGTTGTCACCCAGTAACACCAGAATCTCGTTTGTGTGAGTCAGTCGACCAGGCATGAAGGCAAGTTTGCCGAATGGAACCTGAACCACCAAAAGCAATCATCAAACACAACAATCTGCAGCGAGAATTATGTCTGTCTGTCTATCTGAGTATGTCTGTCTATCTGAGTATGTCTGTCTGTCTGAGTATGTCTGTCTGTGTGTGGGTATGTATGTATATATGCATGAATGCTTGTGTGTGTGTGTGTGTGTGTATGTGCATTTTATGTATATATGCATGTATATGTGTATTTGAGCCGTGTTAGCGCAGTCAATAGGAGGCTTGCTTTCAAATCCAGCTGCGATTCCCTGCAGTCACGGTCGGTGTTTGAAACCAGGTGGTTTCAGGGGTTCACCCAGCCTCTAGGAAATGGGTCGCTGTAGCTACGGAGTTACGTGTGGACAGCCACACAGGCAGACAGTTTCTCATCAGCTGTCCATAGTGGTGGCAGAGCACTCATGGTTTATAACCGTGTGCAATGATGCTGGTTCATTACTCCCGACTTTAATGAATACATATGTGTATGTTTGCGTGTGTGTGTGTGTGTATATGTGTGTGGGAAGTGAGTGAGTGCATATGCATATGCATTTTATTATGCATGCTTTGGTGTTTTTCCCTTGATTTTCACATTATGCATATTCTTATATGAACATATCAAGCTTTAATGATACAATACAATGGCTGTGTGAAAGATGGGTGTTTGGACGGGGTGAATGTAAGACGATGGGCCTGCGTGTCCAATTTGTGACTTTAAAAAATAACATTTGTTAGTTCTCTCTTTTACTCACTCACTTGCATGCATGCACGCACTCATACACACACATATATACATACACACACACACACACACAAACTAAGGATTCGTCAATTACGCAAAAGAAAAGTGTTAGCCAACAAACAAGGACAGCTAGAGACAGTAAAGGTCAACAAAGTTACCATGATATCATGCGTCAGCTTGTCGGGCAGAGTTCTCAGCCTTTCTTGAACAGATTTATAGTCTTGCTTGAAGTTCTCACTGTTGACAAAAGATTTGTTTCAGAATTCAACAGACAAAATATTCCACCTCGTTTAAAAAAAATCCCAAAGCTTTCAAATATCACAATTATTACCTGAAGGACTGAATAGGATATCATCTTTTCTCTGTGTTCATGGCTGTAAACTGGTGGAAACTTCTGGGTGTTGATATGAAAAGTAAATTGGTGGAAACTTCTGGGGGTTCATGGCTGTAAACTGGTGGAAACTTCTGGGGGTTCATGGCTGTAAATTGGTGGAAACTTCTGGGGGTTCATGGCTGTAAACTGGTGGAAACTTCTGGGGGTTCATGGCCGTAAACTGGTGCAAACTTCTGGGGGTTCATGGCCGTAAACTGGCAGCCACCGCTGAGAGTATCTCCCACGCCGATACGCGCGGCATGAAGTGGGGCTAAACTAGATGGCTGGGACTCACGAGCAGCAGCTACAGCATCTCCTGCAGTGTCCATTTTATTTGCTCGTGAGTCCCCACCATCTAGTTCCCCTGTCAGGGTATATTTTTGGCCACCATAATATGTGCCCGTTATTCGGAGGATAGCCAATTATTATGTTAAAATGACTACTTACAACTTGAAACTCAAACCAGAGTTTCACAAAACTGGCCTTTATACAGGAGACAAGAGAACCTGAGTAGATAGTTCAAGCGTGGCTGCTTAAATCTGCTTAACTGCCAAAATCTGGGGGGCGTCCTCAGTCGTACAACAAAAGTGCCAAAAATCATCCACCAAAAACGTGCAATAATTTCTTCTTCTTTTGTCATTACAATTTTACAGGATTGTAGCCCAGTATCGTAGTGTTTTTTTTTAATTTGTTTTGTGCTTCTCTAGTGGCTTTATTCATGGTTTTGTTCATCTTGATGCACGTCTCAGCTACAACATCCATCAACATCTTCCTTGGTCTTCTTCTTCTTCTTCTTCTTGTTCACCGGCTGTGAATTCCGGCGGTAAGTCGCGGTTGTTCGTCCAAATAGACTTTTGGCTTTTACCTTGACCTGAGTTTTGCGTGTACATCCGTTTTACTGGCTTATTTGTTTGCAGTTCTCGTTCCCCGCCTCTCCGGCAGATGTACTCCGACTTCGAGGGAAAATTCCTTGGTCTCACACTCACCTTTCACCTAGATGATAATGTGCTGCTGCACTGTACTGGGCCATCTTATGAATAATGGTCCCAAATTATTGAGGCAGAAAAATACCCTAACAGGGCCTCAGTCATGTGTCAATTCTAGCGACTTAAGTTGTGCACTTCCGCCACCGCGAGTATATTCCCCACGCCGCTCATGCGGCGTGGATTGGGGCTAAACTAGATGGCTGGGACTCAGGAGCAGCAGCTACTGCATTTCCTGCAGCTGCCTTGATTTTATTTGCTCGTGTGTCCCAGCCATCTAGTTTAGCCCCAATCCACGCTGAATGAGCAGCGTGATGAATACTCTCGCGGTGGCGGAAGTGCGCAATTTATTTAAGTCGCTAGAAGTGTGCAATTGACACATGACTGAGGCCCTGTTAGGGTATTTTTCTGCCTCAATAATTTGGGACCGTTATTCAGAAGATAGCCCTGTACTGTGATAGTTTGGTCTCACTGGAGCCTCACACTGTATTAATGTAACTAGAAGCAATCGGATGAGAAATGACCATATCAGGGAAGAAGTTGGGACGGAAGCAGGACTAAACTACACCAAGACACAACATTTCAAATGGTTTGGACACATGGGTAAACTACCAGCAGACAGTGCACCACAGAGGGCCCTGTCCTGTACTAGATGACCGAACCACATTATTCTCTGCCTTTCAACGGTTGTTCCAACCTTCTCTCAAATGATGCTTTTTGTGACACTGTCTCTTCTGACCTTTCCAAGACAGCGCACTTTGCCTTTTTTTAATTTTTTATATTACATATATTGATATAAGTTCATATAACAACTCAACACAAGCGCAATAATTAAAATAAAATTAAAATAGGGACTAAGTAAGTACAAAACAAGTTACCAAGTTACTTACAGTTGTTCAATCTTAACGTCAGTCTCACTTATCGCTTTTATCTGCTCTTCCCGTAAACGACTGAGGTGTCGAGGATCCATGGCATGTATGATAGTGATACAGCACCAGGTGTTCAAATGTATTGAAACCTCTCTCTGTCTCTCTTTCTTGCTCTCACTTTGTGATGCCACTCAAGGAGAGAAAACGAAAGTTGACTGCGAGTTTGAGGTAATGTAATCTCATTCAAAGAAGAGTTCTATAATAAGACGAAACGCAAAAAGTACGCAGAGTGAGTGAGTGACTTTCTACCCCACCAGGACATCACACAAACGATAAACACCCGATGACACAAAGTGCCACCATGTGGATGAGGATCACCGTGGAGAGGTCCCAGAAACCGCGTTCAGACATTTGGCCATTTTTATGGCCTGCCTATATTGCGGCCCCTGGCAAAAGCCAGAGTGGGGCTTCAAATAACAAAAAATTACGTCCTGAAAAGGACGTAAGGACTTAGTAAGTACGCAGAGGTTTGTGCTCGAACGGATCGATAGCCAGCTGCCCGCTGAGTTCGTCGCACAAAGCACGAATTCCGTAATTCAGGCTACGATTCACTGAAATTTTGTAAATATGGCACGCGTGACCTGAAACAACAGTCTGTGAAAATAATTTTCACCGCTTAGAACATGAGGCAGAAGGCTTGTCCAATGAAACACGGCAGCTGAACTCATAGTAACAAGAAATTGAAAATATGTAGCAGATCAGATTAGACTTAACATTAGGGTACAATATTTATAACGCACCCCCAAACACGAAAATCCTAAAGACTGTTCGAAACGCTCGAAAACTTTATAAAGACGTCGAAAATATTTCATTGTGGGCGTTTTCTCCGCTCCATCCTCTGAGCGTTTATGCCATAGTTTGTGCTGTATTTAGTGTTTTTAGAACACTGCTTGCTGGAATCTCATAAATTGGATTTGATTGATTTGATTTGATTCAAGAACCGACATCACAGCACTCAGGGCATTCCCATAAGTGCTCCGTCCCCATTTTCAGCAGCCAGGGAAGAGTTCCGATACTAATGGTGCCAGTAGCATTCTGAATAAACGTCCGTCTTGCCTTTCCTCAGAGCCTCGAGCATCTGCCAGAACCTCTCGTCACTCCCCCCTGCATCAATCTCACCAGACTGGTGATCCATCTGCTCCTCCGAACTGTACACGCTCCACCACAGGGCACTAACCACGTCTGCCTTATCATGTATCAATATTCCACCAAGTTGTGCAGAGCCAGCCAGTCTGTCCGACTGTTCATTTCCCAACACACCGGTGTGCCCCGGTGAAAAAAATCCAGACAATACACCTCACCCGTGTCCTCCGCAGCGAAGCATGCCACTCTGCACGAAGCATACCTGTTCTGATCTTCCTCAGCATGCTTTCCGAATCAGTTGCAATCACGATGTGTGTGTCGTGTTCTCTAGCCAGCGGAAACTGCAGTGACCGCCTCCACCTCCATTCTTAAGCTGGATGTTGTGGTATCATATGCTAGGCTCTCATGCACCAAACGTCGACCATTAACTTTTGCTAAGAAGCTCCAACCACTTCTTTCACCTCTTGACACTGAACCGTCTGTGTACATGATCAAATCCTCTGAGCGAGAATTATTTTGAATTAATTGCTGAATCTTCGCCTCTGTGGCACCTGCTGGCCAGTCTCTGCATTCCTGGCTCAGCGTGATTATGACTATACACAAGTCTGACTGTTCAGGTGGCACTTTGATCGACTCTTTTCCTCTCCAAATGTTCTCAATGATGCAAACTTGTCTGATTGTGTCTTCTGCCTGAGCCATCTATGACCTCCCTCTTATCAGCAGCTAACCCTTAACTGCACCCAGAGCTTCATGCAGAGGATGGTCTGTGTCTGCAGCTACCCTGAGATATGACTTCGCCTGCAGCACCTTGTGCCTACCTGCAACCGTCGGCAAACCACGGATGTATCGCATACACACCACTGAGGTGTCTCTGGTGCAACCCAGAATGACCCGCATAGCCGCATTCTGAATGCGCTCCAGTTTGTCCAACTGACTCTTTAAGACGATAAGCATTCCCAGGCCATAATCAACCACTGATCAGGTGCTGATATAGTGTGAAAAACATTCTCTGCTTTATGTAAATTGCAGCCATAGTCTTAAGTGCACCAAATCCTTTTTGGCATCACGTCACAACACTCTCCACATGGTCCTTAAATGACAGGCTCCTATCAAATGTAATTCCCAGATACATCAGTTTGCTCTCTCTTTTGACGTTCCAACCATCCATCGGGAGACTTGGGACATTAGCTCTAACGATTCTGCTGTCCAGAGATCACCACAAAACAGACGCCTTTTCCGGGTGGACGACAGCCCTAATTTCTGTACACCACTCAGCCACTTTGTCTACTGTCGCTTGTAGCTCCCGGGCTGTTTGTTCCATCTCTTCTCCCTACCTATATTCAAGTATATCATCCGCAAAAGTCAGTATCCTTCCAAATCCTGGTGCTTCTAGGCTTGCAATCTTGCTCGTTGTTGCGAGCCCACGTGGGTAAATACACTGATATAGTGAGGGTGTGGGTTTGAACCTTAACAGTGCCCACCCACGTGAGAAACTGGACTAATATCTAAGCTATGTTGATCCTAGACAGTCTTGGATAGCCAAGAAAACAGCGAGTGGCTCGTTCCATTAATTAAAGTTGCTGCACTTGTATCCACAGGAGTAGGAGAAGGGATAGATAGATGTCACGATAAACCCACCGTGATATTATCTAGATACACAGTTAACCCCTCCGACTTTCTCCTCTCCTGGCACTACTTAAAAGCCCCCATCAAGTGATTTTAATATTTGTCAGCCGAAGTAAACTAGTATGCACAAAGACACTTGAACCTAAGTACACAATTTACTCAACTATTTTGTAACAACATGAACAAGATTTATTGAATAAATCTAACCAAAAATAACATGAACGGGTTTATGCTAGTAGAGTGAAGATGGTGTTATTGATGACAGTTTATACATATACTTAACTCCTAAATGGAGAATTCAACCTCGGGACAGTTCTCGGCTTGAGTCCCTGCCTATCCTCTTCTCCAGTTTGTCATCCTCACTGCTTTCAAGCAGGTCGTTACACTCAGAAGGTCGGCAAAGAATGGATGCCTACTAGTCCCTGCCCAATGTGGGAACTGTGATAAAGAAACAAGCGCATATGTGTAGTATCTAATCTAGATGTACACTAAGCATGTATATTATAATAACATCAAACATGTTTATTTAAATAAAACATTTTATCTCTCCCTCATGTTCACATTCACTCCTGTCCAGTTTGGAAGGGCTTATGTCTCACATTCAAGCCGTTACATTTCCTGCCTTCCTCTACTCACGTCCTGTAATGATAGTCAAGTCTTCTATGTCTGATGTCATCCCTCGTACAGACTTAAAATGACAATCAGTCAGACAGAACACGTTCTGGAATCCATGCTTGGAACAATGGAGGCGCCCAGAATGCTAACAATATTTCTGGGGCGAATCAAATACCAAATCTCAAGGATTTACTCTCCGGGATTAATCTCCACATTAGCCTCCCGGGAGTTAAACACATTTCAGTATGTTAGCTGTATGTAATACAGATTCACATTAACCACACGTGACAAGACTGCCAAAGTTATCTTCACGCTTGTGATTTCAAAAACATGATAGTTCATTAAATTTCACTGGTAACATCAACATTTAAGTTTTACAACATTGAAACACATGTGCACGAAAACCATTCATGACAATATCAATTACGATATAAAGCAATGTGACAGTGCCCTAAGAGAATGGAGAAATGTCCACGTAGGAGTATTACAAAGTGATGAAGACACACACTTGAGCAAAAAGACAGATTTCTATCAGGAAATTAAGGTTTTGAAACTAATTTTCCTTACCTGGAGAATAAAACCACAATGCCAAAAGTTATGTCTCAAGCTTAGGTTTTAAGCCCAACAGATGACATGCGCTATAATGGCAGAGTCTCATTTCCAGTCTTAGAATCCACACTTTTATAACTTCTTTTAAGCTTCCCCTACATTACTCCTAAAACCACTCTCATTCAAGGATGTCACAGCTCCTCCCCATGGGTAAGTCTATTTACTGTCAGTCAGTGACTGTACAACATTTGTTTGCCTTCCCACGGTTACATTCTCCTCATCCATCAAGCTGCCCAGAGCTAATAGGCCAGGTCACACCTCCAGCCTACTTCAACCTGCCATCACTTTAAAATCAGACTGTGTCAATTCTTCTGCTAACACTTTCGGCTCACTATGTCAATTTGGCGATCTGACCTGCTCTAAAGTTAGGTAACCTCAGGGGGAGATAATGGCAATTAGCCTGAGTTATCTGCTCCTAAAGGTCTGGCTAGGAGATAATTATCTGACAACCAACAGATGGTGTGCAAATCTGCAGCCAGTAAGTCTGAGCTAGTCAGTCTCACTGGCGTCACAAAGACTACCTTAACACTTAACATCTGGGAAAGAGTCTCAGTGTTAGATATCACCAGCCGTCCAGAAGAATTAAATATGTCTGTTCTGGTCGCCTTACTTAGATTAAGGATGTATCCAAAACCATATTTGTTCTGTATACTTTAAAATACACAGAAATAAAAGTAGGTTGAGGAAAGACATTCTGAAGTCACCGAGCGTGTCGTCACACTCGTATACACGTTAAAGAGCACAGGCGAGCTGGCGGATACCCTGTGGCAGTCCTGGGGCCAAAGTGCATGGTTCTGACGTCCATGAGCCCAGTCGGAGAGAAACCCGACGTGAATACAGGACAGCTGCAACCCAATTCACCAGCCATGGACTAATCTCCTTCTCCCTAAGTGTCGTCATTAAGATGTCGTATCTCACTCTGTTTTAAGCATCCTCGAGATCCAGTCCTACCGCCATAGTGTCCTGTCTGTTCTGGAACCTCTTGTTCTGTGAACTTCTTGATAATGACTATGTCTCTCTTTTTAGGCGTCTGAGCATCCGGCTTGTTTCCCGTTGACTGATGCTGGCAGGGGATGTCTCTGGTCTGGCTGGGATGCTTTCCTCTTGATTTCCAGCCTCGAAGTCTTGAGTTGCTCTCCGTATGTGTGTTCGTTTTCATCGTTCCATTTGGTTATCCGACTTGAGGATTCGTCAAGGATCTGTTGGTTGATGTCTATTTCGTTCAATGTTTCATTGCGCAAGCTTCTTAGTTTGTTAGTTGGGTTATCATCATTGCACTCCGGACATGTCCATAGGTGCTCAGATCCTCCCCTCAGTATAAACCCCAACGTCCGATGGCTAATAGTACCAGTTCTATGTTGATTAACAAGTCTTCTGGTGTGCGTCTCGTTTTATTGCTATGCCGATCTTAATTCCCAAGTCTGCCATTCTGGCGAGTGATGCGGATTCACTGCCCCCAAAGTCCTCTATCCTTCCCATTTCTCTGAGGGCATTAAAAATAGCTTGTAGCGGATCCAGCCAACCTATCAGCTCTTTCATTTCCATTGACGCCAGCGTATCCCGGAACAAAAATAAAGGTTACTCCACGCACAGTGGACTTCTGTAATGATTCAAGCTGCACGGGCTTCTGATTCTTTCTAATTTTGCTGTCTTTATTTTTATAGAGAGCTGCAGTTATGTTAGTTCTGCTATCTTTCTGTATACTCGTCGTTAGACGTAGATTTTTCCATCGCTTTCCCTGTCTCTTTTGCCTGTGACTTGTGCTGCGGCTTCATTCTCTAGGCTCCATGCTTTTTTCTTCTCTCTTCGCAATCTCCGTGTTCAGAGACTTTGTTGCTGACCCAGCTGTTGTGCTTTTGTCTGGCGTACTTGCCTTCTGTGTGGGTTGTTTCTTAAGCTCCTTGGTCTGGGTTATAAGTCACAGTCTTTCTATTGCGGACACGCACGGCTTACTGAGTGACCCTACCATGACCGCACACGGGGCGATTAAAACCCGTTGACTCAAAGTGTCACCATTCGGATGAGAATCCCCAGCGTGCAAGTCCCATAAACCCCGTTTAACTGTTAGGTTAAATTAGGGTCCCCAAAGACAGTCGGATGAAGCTTACAATTAAAAAAATGTCCTAAATTAAGACGGTAATGATATGTCTATATGCATCTTGCGTTACTGGGAGTTGCCATGGCGTAGCGGCTAGACGCTCGCATGCGGATCGGAAGGTCGTGGGCTCGCTCCCTGGCGGCCCGGACTTTTTTAAAAACTGACCTTGACTCCCAGATCGACCCAGCCTTGAGTGAGTACCGGGTCCAGTCCCGGGAAGTAAAGGCGGCCGGCGTGATGCTGACCACTTTTATCTTGCGTTACTGAAGAAGGCAATGCTTAAAAACGGTATTGAGTTACCCGTGGGCTATCTACTGATAGTCTGATAGCCTTTGTTTCTAGAAAGTACCGGACACAAATTTAAAATAAAGTCTTCTTTCGCAAAAATATAGCACATAATTTATCCTTTGCTAAAACAGCGTGATAACTGTGTTGTTGATTGAAAAAGCAATTGTTTATTTGACATTTACAGAAATAATGTAATTTAAAGCAAAGGAATATTGCGAAATCAGGATTGGCCGTTTGGTCATAAACATGGCTGCAAAGTCACTTTACAGCTGCATGCGATCTGCCCAAACAACTTTGTTTGTTTCTGGTAGTTGCACTTTACGTTCACTTTTGCCTTCCAGGTGTGTATTTTATTATAAATGCAGCTTAAATTTAATGCTAAAAGCTTACGTTATATTGTCTGTTGGGACTTCAAAGTCTTTTTGCAACGAACGGCAAACCTAGAGACGTAAGACGCAGGCCTAGGTACTTCAGTCAAATTTTTAAAATGCCCTCTACACCAATAAAACCAGCACAGAGTAGAGTGTCTTGCGACACTAGCTTTCCACGATGGTACCGCGGCTTACTGCTCGTATGTCCTAATTTCTGAGCTAGAGATATTAGGTTTTTTGTGGATATTGAGATGGGGGACACATTGCGCTAAAAACTAGTGACCCAGAACCGCAAATTAAGTCACGCCCAAAACCTACTGCGCATTTCTGTCTCGGATTTGTTGCGCGGCGACTTGTCATTGGACAGACCGCTAGCAGTGAGACTTCAAGCTCACTCAGCCGCATGCGATGCCTAACACGTGTACTGTAAATCTAAACAGCCTTAAGTCGGTAAAAAAAATTTAATATGCAAATTTCAAATTTGGACGGTAAGAATTCCTGCTGTAACTAGCATTACCAGGGCTACTGGGGTAATGTCCCTTGGCCTAAAAGCCAAAAACGAATTCGCCCGCTATTTTTCATCAATCTGATGACTAACAGAAAAACAGAGGATCCGTGCGTGTCGTAGACATGCGCTGTTAATCATGTTTCCCCACGCTGTTTGCGCTATGTATAGCTGGTTCCAAATTCCCGTGTTATTGGCAAAATTTCGTAAGATGAGGGTTAGGGTTTAGGTTTACGGTTAGGGGTAGCCGATATGAACATGTTTTAGGAGGTCGAAACAAGTGGCCGACAATCTTCCGTTTGTAGGAGGCGACACTGAAAACTCCTGCCAAAAAAGACCGCAAATTTAGAAACTGTAGTCCCTGACGCAGTCTTCTGGCGACTATTGGTCGCAAAGATTGCGGCCGCAACATCCCATTCGGCCCTCGATGTCGCGTGTCAATTGCCGACTGTGGCGTCGTCGCAGCACACTGCGAAGTTGCTGCTCGTGGTCCTAGCCACTCGTAGTTTATAGCCCCCAATCGGGGATGCCACACCTTAAGTGAGCTGCGTGGGGGACACATTGCCATGGCGATAGTCGCCGGAGAACCGCAAATTAAGTCACGCGATCTTTCTGGCTCGAAAGGATATTTTGCGGCATCATCTTTGCGCACGAAGCTCCGTAGCAACGGCCAGTCACACGTTATATTTAGAACTTAAGATCAACGCCCGTTTGGCTGCGACCTTTCTGAATTTGGCCGGTAAGCTGGTACTGCTTCTCATCCGGCTTAGCGGGGATATATCTGCTGGGTCTCATGAGTCCTGGCCCAGCTCAAAACAAGTCACAGAAAAAGTCACGAATCTAATGGCATACTTACCTATCATCATCCTGTAGGGTTGCGTATAGGGTGTCTATCATCGTCCTACGGTTGCGGTAGGGCAGCTTATTGCGTGTAGGTTGGTTGTTTACGTAAGATGAGGGTTAGGGTTTAGGGTTAGGGGTACATGTTTCGATATGAAATTTTCACGTAGGAGGTCGAAATAGTGGCCGACAATCTGACGTTTGTGGGAGTGGCGCCACTGAAACTCTGCATGTCGCTGTTGGCGAAAAAGGACCCCGTGCGAACGCTACACCGAGTATCACAGCGATGACAACGCCAACCGTATCTGTCATTACAGTGCTGGCGAGGCGCTAGCGACATAGGTCGGTTGCATGAGCTGCACAGGTGCATATTCCTTATAAGACTATGCTCAGCTAGCCACCGCAACCACGCATACTTATCAGACATTAATGCATGCAGATCTGCAGGAGTTACGTCCGTGGCGACTAAGTCGTGCGTCGCAAGAATGTTGTTGCTTATGTGTGTGGGAGCTCTCTGTCTAACTGCCATTTCGCTGTTGTGATTTGATTCATGACTTTTTCCGATCGTAGTTTTGAGTGCGGCCACGGGGACATAACTCCCACTAAGCCCCGCTAAGCCGGCCGAAGCAGTCCAGCTTACCGCCAAATTTGAAAAGAGAGCCCAAATTTTCAAAAATCCTCTTATAGTACTAGTACTATAGCACAGTTAGATAGCTATTTAAAATATCTTTCCAACGGTACATACTTCACAAATTTACGTCAATTTTAAGCTGAGATTTCAAGGTTTTTGTGGAAATGGGACATATAGAATTATTAGAATTAGAACAAAACCCAAAGTTCTTCTTCGTCATCGCATTCACCAGCTGTAAACTGGCAGAAAGTTCTGGTTGTTCGTCCCCTTCTGGACTGCAGTCCTTTTCCAGAACTTGAGTGTTGCATGTGCATCTGTTTGACAGATCTGACTAATCTGTATGCAGACTGTTGGTTCCTTGCCTCTCAGGCAGATGCACTCTGACTTTGAAGGACGTTCCCAATTAGTCGACTCTTACGACATGCTTCTGGGTAGGAAGTGGTAGCCATCTAGTTTAGCCCAGCTCCAGGCCGTGCGTAGCGGCGTGGGAGATACTCTCAAAGGTGGCGGTAGTCACTGGAAGTCCGCAATTTACATGTGACTGAAGCCCTGTTAGGGTATATTTTTGGCCTCGATAATTTGGTACCGTTATTCGGAGTATATCCTATATAATATATATATATATACCCTTTTTACAGTATCCTTTATTGTCTGTAAATATGTTCATCTCTATTTTCACTAATCACCTGTGCCGCTTTTCTATGACATGACCAGTGGTTGGGTTTGGGTAACTTTCTCACAGGTTTACATCCTTTGCCTCTGCTCTCTAATTCTGCCAGTCTGAACAAGAAAACAAGTAACTGTCAATATATATACTAATTTTTTTTTAAACTATTCAATTAATCGACAAAAATACATGTTGGAAAAAGGGTCAGTCACAATTTTAGTATGCGTTTATGCTTGCTACAAAAATACGAAATTGTTATTCTAATGATGCTAACCTGAAAAAAAAAAAAGATATCAAGGTAAGTGCATCGTCATCATTTAGCAAGTCCTTTTCAGAACGTCGCTCTCATCACAGTCTTCCTGAAAAAAAAACCTTGGTCTCTTGCCAGTTCTCCCGCCTCATGAACTTTCACACTCAAGGAGTCACTTATATCCTGTGCCCATCTTCGTGTCGGTTGGCCCCTGCCCCTCCTTCCTGGTACCATGCCTTCTGCTATAATTTTTTCCAGTCCGTCGTGGCGCTTGATATGACTAAAATATTTAAGCTTTCGAGAAAGGATGGTGTTTATTAGCCAATCTTTCTTGATGTTCAGATCTTTTAAGATGTCAATATTTAGGTAAGTGCATAGTGCATACTTGATTTATATTATGCAATCCGCTTAAGAAAATGTCTGATTTCTTACTTGTGAATACGATCACTTTTTCATGTTCTTGTAGCGTCACTTGTGTACAGCAAGTTCGTCACCGACGCTATCCAGCATTTATTGTCCGCCCGAGCATAAGGAAACCATGGCATGTACGAAAGTGGACTACAAAAAGTGACGGGGACCTTATTGCCAGCAATGAAGCATTTGTCAAAGACGTTTTAATTGATAAATATACAGGAGTGGGCAAAGTGGAAAGTCCGCTGAAAGATGGACCCTGGGAGAGAAACCCCTTTGTGCATGGGTAAGTGTTTTGTTGGATACCTGGATTCTGGGAACAGACAGTAACTGTCTTGAGAGTAATGTTTGAATGTTTCTCTTTATTTGGTTCTTTTATATGTGACTGAGCTACCGTATAACATTAGTCCGTACTAACTCTTCTCTATTGAAATCAGACTTTTGCTAAGTCTTTGGGTAAAGGAGCTCATTGGGGAGGATGCTAGCCCTATCCTAGGATTGGGAAATGTAACCTAATGGTATGGTAGCGCAGACTGGACCATTAGCCTTGATTGGCACTGATCTAGCAGGGAAGCTCCGACAGGCGGACAGACCGAACATTGCCTCTCTCATCTGACAGCTCTTGCAGCAGGTTTGTTTCAAAATATATTTTGTGTTACCTTTCCTTTGGAGTTAACAAAGCAGGCTGAGTGAGGGATGCACTGCATCAGCAACATATGGTCTTTACATGACTCCCAGGCTTGTTGCTGTGGAAAGGAGGAACTTAAGACCTGGTGTGACTTGATATCATTATGGGCTGTGAACTCCATGTCTCCTTATTGCTTCATACAACACCGGATTAGACGTAAAGGTGACAGCAAGCAGTAGATGTATGCATATCATATGTTTGTGTCTTTTTTTATTACCTCAGTTTTTGTGTGAGCATATATTTCTAAGTTGAGCATAGTTTGTTCTTTTCTCCATTTCATATATGCAGTGTCTATTTCATACATTGAGTCTATGTGTCATAACATTTATAATTTATGTATTGTCAGTTAGTTAACATAAAAAGTATCATGCATATTTCATATGTGTCAGTCAATCAGTCAGCCTGTTCTCTGCTTAAAAGCTCTCTTCACGACACGCCCCAAAGTCTCTTTGTCTCTAGCCAATGCATCTTCTGTGTCCTGTATCCACTTTCTGGTGGTCAGCCTCTGCTTCGTTGTTCGGAAACTTCATCCTCTGTCATCGTTCTCTCCGAACCACTGTGGCACTTGACCGCTCTGAAATACCTCAGCTTTTGAGAGAGAATGCTTTTTACGAGCCAGTCCTTCTCAATGTTCAGGTCGTGTAGGTTATCGATGTTTTTCCTTTTTCTGATCCACGATAGCCTAAGAATATTTCTTTAGCAATTTAGTTTAAAAACTCAGATTTTCTTCTGTAAAGACTAAGTGAGAGTACATGACTACATAGTGAGTATCTATCCAAAGAGCCACAGCAACTTGTGAGGCACCTAGAAGAAAGGCAGCTGAACAGCAAGTACAGGCTAGAAAGACCCCTATAACAGGCCCTTTATTTAGATACTTCTGGGCCCACATTGGGCCTATAGGTCATCTCTGAACTCACAATCAACTATAGTTTCATGGCACCTCTGAACTCACAATCAACTAGTTTCATGACACCTCTGGACTCAGAAGTCAACTATAGTTTCATGACACCTCCAGACTCACAGACAGTCAACTATAGTTTCATGACACCTCCAGACTCACAAACAGTCAACTATAGTTTCATGACACCTCTGGACTCAGACAGTCAACTATAGTTTCATGACACTTCCGGACTCACGACTAGTCAACTATAGTTTAATGACACCTCCGCTATCATACAGTCAAAATCTTTGCAGTCTTTTAATCTCAGGGGCTTTAGCATCATAAGCCCAAGGGGTAGTAAAGAGAGATGTATAATCAGAACATCTTGCGCTTATTGAGCTTCGAGGTAGGAACATATGATGTGTTTCTTGGTTCTGAAAGAATTGAGTTCGTGTTAACGAGGTTTTTTACCATATGACATAAAGATTTTTTTATTTTACGTAGCGCTTTTGTATCTGATATACTTCTTTTTTTTTAAGGGTGTTTACATAGTGTCTGTCAAATATTAGCTGGTTCTTTGTGCTCCACAGGACACGGAGGACAGGCGTGCTAGCTTTGAAACTAGGCACCACTGAACAGTACACAAAAGAAGGGAATGTGTTTACCGTGACTTTGTTACAGGTGTAGTATCTTGTGTATGTTTGTGTGTGGCATTTTGTAGATGATTGTGTGGTATCTTATGTGTGTTTATATGTGGTAACTGATGGATGGATGTTTGTGGTAACTGGTCAGCATTTTTGTGTGGCCTCTTGCAGGTGTTTATGTGTGATTTTATGGGGCTTTGTGTGTAGTAACTTGTGGATGTGTTTATATGTGGTAACTTGGGGGTGTTGCTGGTAACTGGTGGATGGATGTTTGTGTGTGGTATCTTGCATATATTTTAGGTGAATATATGTGTGCAGTTTAGTGGATATTTACATGTGGTGTAGTGGATGTTTGTCTGCGCTACACTATCTTGCATATATTTAAGGTGAATTTATGTGTGTGCAGTTTAGTGGATATTTACATGTGGTGTAGTGGCTTTCTATCTGTGGTATCCAACAGATGATTATAGATGGGTTTTTCTGGACACTTTATGATGAGTACCAGTTCCCTTTTGATTTCTAAAATTTAAAAAAACCCATGGTATAGTAGATGTTTGCATATGGAACAACATGTTTGTGTGTTTATCCGGTGAGTGTTTGTAAGTGGCAGAGAATGGTTGTGTGTCAAATCCAACAAATATTTAATGTGGTGTAACATGTTTGTAACCAATAAATGTTTGTATATGCTATTCAGCAAATGTTTTTATGTGATATAACATGTTTGAGTATAGTATTTAGTGAATGTTTGTGTGTGGTAACCAGGGAGTATTTGTGTGTGGTTGATGTAACATGTTTTTTTAGTGTTTAAGGAATTTATGTGTGTGTGTGGTATAACATGTGATATAATTCGCCTTTGCACATTAGGAATCCCCAGGTGTGTTAAATCCTCCAATGTAGCAGCCGCTCCAAGGGACCACTACTGATTGTTACCGTGATGAGTTGGTTACAGTTTCACCTGTCTTTACCTCAAAGACAACATAGACATGCTTCATCAGCTTAACCCCTCCATCATGCAGCCATGCTAGCATCAGAAATTTGCCATTATCTCCCAACCACCTAGTCCCGTACAGCATTGACGGTATCAGCTCTGTCCATGTTTCTTCCCGTTTGCATTGCTGCATTACTTGCCAGCTGGTCAGCTCTTTCATTACCATTTACTCCTGCATGCCAAGATGTGTAGATCCAGTGAATGTTGTCTGCTACTTTTGAATGCTTTCTACCATTTCGGAGCATAGACTACCTGTAGCAATTTTTCTGAAGCATGTTTAAAGAGTCTGAAATTATTACTGTATGTGTGGCTGCTTGTTCTGCTACCCATGCGAGTGCTCTGGTAGCAGCAGCTATCTCCATGGCCATGCTTGATGTAGTCTGGTAAGCGCCGCTATCCTCTTTTATTGTTTTCCCCATCCTTCGTGCCGCATATGCCTGTGCTGATCTTGACCCGCGTTTCACGGATGTTCTGTCTTTTGGTCATGCATGCTAATCAGTCACTGCCCTAATCTCGGCGTCTATGGTGGCAGGCATCTGACTCCTGCGGTTACCTCCACAGTGTTATGACAACCTTAGATAAGTCATGCATGTCTACTGGTGCATCTATCCATTCTTTTCCCTGACTGATCTCGTCTAGGTCACATACTTGCTTGATTATATTTTCTTTCTCAGTTATACTCGATATAACATGTTTGCGTGTGGTATTTAGTGAATGTGTCTATTTGGTATAACATGACTGTGTGTTGAATCCAGTGAATGTGTGTAGGGTTTCCAGTTAATATGTGTTGCAGCATTTGTGTATGTGGTACTCCATGAATGTTTGTATATGGTATCCACCTGGTATTTCTGCAGGTGTTAGACAACCATGTGATCAACTATGTGCCCCCTGAAGTGTATGCCACGTACCCCAGCCATCGGCCCCACCAGGGCGAGAAGTTTGGCCTGCAGATTGTTGGTGCTCTGAGCTGTGACCCCAGAATGGTAAGTGAGGATGTTTGCATCTCTCTAGTCTCTTCCTTCGCTTTTACATCATATTAATTTTTCTAACTCATTTTCTTGTTCTTCTTCTCCCTCTCTTGTCTCCTCCTTTCCATCCACTGTTTCTGTTTACTTTTTAACTGTATCGTAAAATGCTATGTGCACCAACATAAAGTATTATAACACTGTCATGCTTACGTCTCCACTGTGGCACGCAGTGTTTGATGATGTCTCTAAACACATCAGTGTACTTTCCCTCTACCATGAAACAAACTTATCCTGATGTCTCTAAACACATCAGTGTACTTTCCCTCTACCATGACACACACTTATCCTGATGTCTCTAAACACATCAGTGTACTTTTCCTCTACCATAACACACACTTATCCTGATGTCTCTAAACACATCAGTGTACTTTCCCTCTACCATGACACACACTTATCCTGATGTCTCTAAACACATGTGTACTTTCCCTCTACCATGACACACACTTATCCTGATGTCTCTAAACACATCAGTGTACTTTCCCTCTACCATGACACACACCTATCCTGATGTCTCTAAACACATCAGTGTACTTTTCCTCTACCATAACACACACTTATCCTGATGTCTCTAAACACATCAGTGTACTTTCCCTCTACCATGACACACACCTATTCTGATGTCTCTAAACACATCAGTGTACTTTCCTTCTACCATGACACACACCTATCCTGATGTCTCTAAACACATCAGTGTACTTTCCCTCTACCATGACACACACCTATCCTGATGTCTGTAAACACTTCAGGTTCCCCCCCCCCCCCCCCCTTTTTCCCCCAGCTCAAGCTCTAAGCAAATTATGTACTTTACTGTTGCAGACTTATCTTGATGTCCATAAAGCAAACAGTATACTTTCCTTTCGCTGTGACACACTTATCTTGATGTCCATAAAGGAAACAGTATACTTTCCAAGCGCTGTGACGCACTTATCTTGATATAACAAAATGCAAGATACATCCTCCCTTTTTCCCGAAGAGACATCTGACACATTTATCTTGATGTCTGTAAATAGATCAGTGTTCTGTACCTCCATTGTGACATAAACTCTCTCATGGGAGCAATAAGTAGCGGTACCTTGCAGTGGCTACTGCTTCTGAGAACTCAGCACCCATGGGAATGCCCGATGTACTTTGACATCGATTGTGATAACATAATTATTATGATGTCCTCCCTATGTGGGTTCTGGGACCCTATGTTGGGGGGGGGGGGGGAGGAATAAACCCACTACTCCCTAATAAGCATGTCATAAAAGGCAACTAGTTAGGGGTGTTTCTTTTCCTAGAGATGAGAAACCAATGGTCTGCATACAAATAAACCAGATCTGTAAAACAAATGTTCATGCAAAACTCACGTTCTGGAATTAAACAAAGCCCAGAAGTGGATGAACAACCAGAACTTTCCACTGGTTTACAGCCCATTAAGATAAAGATGCTAAGAAAAAAATTCTGATGCCCCTAAACAAGTATGTACACTGCCATTGTTTAACCTGTTTCTGTAGCACACTGACTTGTTCATATGGACAGAATATGAAAATATTATTTCACTGTCTACTCCTCAGTTCTCTAAGGCTTACAACAATTTGTTTATGAAAGCTGGTGTCCCACCCAAGCGTTGGCTTACCAGATTTTTAATTACGCCAAATGCTGCAGTCCAACCAGGTATTTCCTTGTTGACTCATTTTCTTAATTCTTTTTTGTATGTGCGTTTCATGGCCTTTTGAATGTGTGTAAATAGGGGCGGGGGAACAAAAGACCCCCTGCCTCCCTGACAAGCGTGTTGAAAGAGTCTACTAATTAGGAGTTTCCTTCAATGTCAGAGTGCAAATGCAAGGAACCAACAGTCTGCTTAATTATAAGCCATATTTGCAAAACTGGTGTGCACATAAAACACTCAGGTTCTGAACAAGACTGCAATCCAGATGTGAACGAACAACCAGAAATTTCCACCAGTGAATGCAAAGAAAAAAGAATTCAGTCAGTAGTTAAAACTGGTATATGTAACATGGAAGAATTATTAATTTTCAGTGGCTGGTATTTATTATATGTGATTTTTTTTAAATACACAGGACTAATTCTGTTTTACTTGTCTTTTGTTAGGTACCCCACTGTGTGTCAACCATTTTAGAGTTGGTGACCATGTGGATGTCCAGTCTCGAACGTAAGTTCAGTATTATTCAGAAATGTCCGTGAGATTGCTTTAATTAGATTTCATATATACGTGAAATAGATTCAACTATGGCAAAACTGTAAATGTAAACTATTTTGAATGCAAAATATCTAGGCCAGCTTTACATCCATACATACAAAAGCAAATTTAATAAAAGCTTTTAAAGAAGCTTACCTTAGATATATTTGTCTGCCTGTGAGTGGGGAAGGGCAGATTTGGACCAATAAGTTTGAAAAGTAATAATTGTCGAACCAACTGGAAAGAGAAGGCCAACCAGAGAGATGAATGGAGATAGGTGATTTTTGCAGCAATGAACCTCAAGGGTTCGGAATATAATTGTGAAGCCATAGGAAGTCAAGGTGGCCGTGTTAACCACACCACCAACCGAGTGCTGATTGGTTTATAAAATATAGGTCTATCCCTATGTGCCCAATACGCCTGAAGGTGTGGTAAAAGGTCCAGTTGTTTACTTACTTTAGACATCTATCGTATGACCCAGTCTACATTTTTCTGTTCTGTATTTGTTGTATTACAGGAGGGACTGGGGATTTCAAGGTGTCATCAAGAGGTGGGGAATGAAAGGAATGCCAGCCTCTCATGGTGTTACCAAGTCTCACAGGAAGATGGGCAGTACTGGAGGTGGAGGAGTAAGTATTGAGTAGGCGGCACTGGGGTTGGATTAGTAGTGTAGGCACTACTGGGGTTGGAGTAGTAGTGTAGGCACTACTGGGGTTGGAGTAGTAGTGTAGGCACTACTGGGGCTGGAGTAGTAGTGTAGGCAGCACTGGGGTTGGAGTAGTAGTGTAGGCAGCACTAGGGTTGGTGTAGTAGTATAGGCACTACTGGGGTTGGTGTAGTAGTATAGGCAGCACTGGGGTTGGAGTAGTAGTATAGGCAGCACTGGGGTTGGAGTAGTAGTGTAGGCAGCACTAGGGTTGGAGTAGTAGTATAGGCAGCACTAGGGTTGGAGTAGTAGTGTAGGCAGCACTAGGGTTGGAGTAGTAGTGTAGGCAGCACTAGGGTTGGTGTAGTAGTATAGGCACTACTGGGGTTGGTGTAGTAGTATAGGCAGCACTGGGGTTGGAGTAGTAGTGTAGGCAGCACTAGGGTTGGAGTAGTAGTGTAGGCAGCACTAGGGTTGGAGTATAGGCAGCACTGGGGTTGGAGTAGTAGTGTAGGCAGCACTAGGGTTGGAGTAGTAGTGTAGGCAGCACTAGGGTTGGAGTATAGGCAGCACTGGGGTTGGAGTAGTAGTGTAGGCAGCACTAGGGTTGGAGTAGTAGTGTAGGCAGCACTGGGGTTGGAGTAGTAGTATAGGCAGCACTGGGGTTGGAGCAGTAGTATAGGCAGCACTGGGGTTGGAGCAGTAGTATAGGCAGCACTGGGGTTGGAGCAGTAGTATAGGCAGCACTGGGGTTGGTGTAGTAGTATAGGCACTACTGGGGTTGGTGTAGTAGTATAGGCACTACTGGGGTTGGAGTAGTAGTGTAGCTGGGCTTGGAGTAGTAGTATAGGCAGCACTAGGGTTGGAGTAGTAGTGTAGGCAGCACTAGGGTTGGAGTAGTAGTATAGGCAGCACTAGGGTTGGAGTAGTAGTGTAGGCAGCACTAGGGTTGGAGTAGTAGTATAGGCAGCACTGGGGTTGGAGTAGTAGTGTAGGCAGCACTAGGGTTGGAGTAGTAGTGTAGGCAGCACTAGGGTTGGAGTATAGGCAGCACTGGGGTTGGAGTAGTAGTGTAGGCAGCACTAGGGTTGGAGTAGTAGTGTAGGCAGCACTGGGGTTGAAGTAGTAGTGTAGGCAGCACTGGGGTTGAAGTAGTAGTGTAGGCAGCACTGGGGTTGGAGTAGTAGTGTAGGCAGCACTGGGGTTGAAGTAGTAGTGTAGGCAGCACTGGGGTTGAAGTAGTAGTGTAGGCAGCACTGGGGTTGAAGTAGTAGTGTAGGCAGCACTGGGGGTTGCATTGTAACAGTTGTGTAAGCAGCAGTGAAGATGGAGTAGAATCGTATAAAGAGCACTTGGCAATGTACTGAATAGGCAACACTATATAATGACAAGTAAGTACTGGGGAGGCAGCAGATGGGATGGAGAAGTACTGCTCTGAAGGTGAAGGTGTTTTATTTACTAACTAAGCATTCGGGATGGGCGACACATGTTCTGTTGCAGCACTGGGAGCCGATGAGTAAGTCTTCTGTTGGCAGCACTGACGCAGTGGAAGTAATAGTGCAGAGGACATCAGAGGTATAGTAGAATTATAATTTGTATATTGGTTTGTTTCTTTTCTGATGATTTTTTTTTCTCTCTCTAGGACAAAGGTGGCATTTGGAGAGGCAAGCATATGCCTGGCATCATGGGTAACAGGCTGAGCGTACAACATAATCTCAAGGTTTGTGGACTCCCTGTGTGGCTTTTTGTTGGTCTTGGTTTATGAGAGAGTTGAACTTCTTCTGCGTTCATCCCAAGATGTAATTGCGTTGTCTGTTTACAGCATGGCTGTGATATTTGCACTTTTCGGCCAACATCCGACTTCTGCGGGCATTTGTTGACTGGGTTAGCCTCCCCCAGTGGAGAGTTGAACAGGATATACCCCCGTCACTGAACAAACATGTCGTAAAACCTTATTTAGGGTTTGCTGAAATAAGATCTGTTGGATAAAAAAAGGCGGAGATATTATAGCCTAGCTGCAAACCACAATACAATGTGCCTGCTACCATTTTGCCCCAGTGACCAAGGTCAATGGTCTAGAACCCATATTTCCATAGCTACTGATGGACCCTTTATTATGTGCAAACAGAATCAGTACTGTTAATGAGAATTCTTGTAAACAAGTCACTGTAGCTGCACCAGTTAAGCAATATATGCAGCATTGGGGTAGGAGGAGGAGTGTATGCAGCATTGGGGTAGGAGGAGGAGTGTATGCAGCATTGGGGTAGGAGGAGGAGTGTATGCAGCATTGGGGTAGGAGGAGGAGTGTATGCAGCATTGGGGTAGTAGGAGGAGTGTATGCAGCATTGGGGTAGGAGGAGGAGTGTATGCAGCATTGGGGTAGTAGGAGGAGTGTATGCAGCATTGGGGTAGTAGGAGGAGTGTATGCAGCATTGGGGTAGTAGGAGGAGTGTATGCAGCATTGGGGTAGGAGGAGGAGGGTATGCAGCATTGGGGTAGTAGGAGGAGTGTATGCAGCATTGGGGTAGGAGGAGGAGTGTATGCAGCATTGGGGTAGGAGGAGGAGTGTATGCAGCATTGGGGTAGGAGGAGGAGGGTATGCAGCATTGGGGTAGGTGGAGGAGGGTATGCAGCATTGGGGTAGTAGGAGGAGTGTATGCAGCATTGGGGTAGTAGGAGGAGTGTATGCAGCATTGGGGTAGGAGGAGGAGGGTATGCAGCATTGGGGTAGGAGGAAGAGGGTATGCAGCATTGGGGTAGGTGTAGGAGGGTATGCAGCATTGGGGTAGGTGGAGGAGTGTATGCAGCATTGGGGTAGGAGGAGGAGTGTATGCAGCATTGGGGTAGGAGGAGGAGTGTATGCAGCATTGGGGTAGGAGGAGGAGTGTATGCAGCATTGGGGTAGGAGGAGGAGTGTATGCAGCATTGGGGTAGGAGGAGGAGTGTATGCAGCATTGGGGTAGGAGGAGGAGTGTATGCAACATTGGGGTAGGAGGAGGAATCTATGCAGCATTGGGGTAGGAGGAGGAGTGTATGCAGCATTGGGGTAGGAGGAGGAGTGTATGCAGCACATTTCGAAAGTGCTCGGTTTTGATGCTTTTTGGAGCAGAAGGGTTTAGACTGAGTGACAAAAGAAGTGCAAGTGTTTAGCGTACAAGTGTTTTAACTAGTTGAGTTTCTCACCAGCATGAAGAGATATTTTCTGGCAGTTATTGAGCAACTGTTGTTTTCTTCTACCCTTTATCCAAGATTGAAGCTTTGATTCTCAATCAGTCTTGTCAAATAGGCCTGCCTTTTTCCATCTCTGGCAGCCCTCCATGGTTATCGCTTACTGTTCATCTCAGAATAGGCCACTGTTGACTTTGCAGCCGCATGTACACAAAACTTAAGATTAACGATTCGGCCATCCACAATTGTAGATTGGGGCCTGAGACAACAGATCATGTCCCCCAAGACTGACCCAAATACAGTGCATCAAGGCACAATTTCTGGCTAAGAGAAACACAGGCAGAAGCCAAACTTCAACGGGCCACTGAGTGGACTTAAAAAAGACAGGGAAGTCCTCATTAGAGAAAACATTGCAGCTGTAGATAACCTATTTCAGGCGAATGAAAGAAGAAGCAAAAGGACATTCCACTTATGCTACTAACAGGTCGCCGTGTGGGTTCCGGGGCCCCATTGTGGGGAAAACAAGAATAGACCCACTGCCTCCCCAAAAGCATGTCGTAAGAGTCGACTAATTGGGGAGCTTCCTTTGAAGTCGGAGTGCATCTGCCGGAGAGGCAAGGAACCAACAGTCTGTATTCAAGAGAATGAGATCTGAAAAACTGATGCACACCCAACACTCAGGTTCTGGAGCAGGACTGCAGTTCAGTAGTGGACAAGCAACCAGAACTATCTGCCAGAGTTTACAGCTGGTTAACGCGAAGAAGAAGAAGAAGAAGCTATTAACAGGTTTTCTTAGTTTATGTCTCAGACAGCACCAGTGTTTTCTCAGTTTGTTTCTCAGACAGCACCAGTGTTTTCTTAGTTTGTGTCTCAGACAGCACCAGTGTTTTTCTTAGTTTGTGTCTCAGACAGCACCAGTGTTTTCTTAGTTTATGTCTCAGACAGCACCAGTGTTTTCTCAGTTTATGTCTCAGACAGCACCAGTGTTTTCTCAGTTTGTCTCAGACAGCACCAATGTTTTCTCAGTTTGTGTCTCAGACAGCACAAGTGTTTTTCTTAGTTTGCACAAGTGTTTTTCTCAGGTTGTATCTCAGACAGTGCCAGTATTTTTCTCAGGTTGTATCTTAGACAGCGCCATTATTTTTCTCAGGTTATATCTCAGACAGGCCAGTATTTTTCTCAGGTTATATCTCAGACAGCACCAGTGTTTTCTCAGTTTGTTTCTCAGACAGCACCAGTGTTTTCTTAGTTATTGTCTCAGACAGCACCAGTGTTTTTCTCAGTTAGTATCTCAGATGGCACTAGTGGTTTTCTCAGTTTGTGTCTCAGACAGCACCAGTGTTTTTCTCAGTTAGTATCTCAGACGGCACTAGTGGTTTTCTCAGTTAGTGTCTCAGACAGCACCAGTGTTTTTCTCAGTTTGTGTCTCAGACATTGGTTTTCTTAGTTTGCATCAGACAGGCACTAATGGTTTTCTTACTTCTTGATTTGTTGGAATGTGATTAGGGTCCAGGTTTAATATGAATCCTTGTGCTCTCTGTGTTTGTACTTCATTGATTGCACAATGGCTTTTAATTGAGTGAGACACACTGGCATGATAACAGCTGATGGGAAATACCTTAGACTAAAAAAAAAAGGATACTGAAAAAAGCATGCTTTTATAAAAATTAATAATGTAATAATTCAGTATCAGCCAGTCAGGAGAGGTGTGTGCCAAAAATGTGTGATGTCTTCAGATCTTTTTTTTTTTTTTGCTGTTTACTGAAAACTCATAAGACATGAAGGAAATCATATTGAGAGGATACAACACCAACAATAAAAAATACAGAGATGATAAGTAGTCACTGCAGATCATGATCAGGATCTGCAGTGTTTCGCTGATACAGTAACAGTTCACAGCAAGCAGCTAGGCTTAGAGTTAAATTGTAAGAAAACTGAAATGGTCATCATCAAGAATAAAGAAATAATGGTGCGAAATCCTTGCAAAGAAATAGTGCAACTTTTTAAGCAGATAAATCGATATACTTAATTTTGGAACAGTCAAAACGTTACGCAAGATGTCTTGCAGAGATTAGAACCAGAATCACCATGTCAAAATTTTCCTTTTGTACTATATAACCCAACTCTATTTGTTACACTCCACAGATCTGGAGAATCAACACAAAATACAACATACTGTATGTGACAGGCCCTGCCATTGCTGGCTTGCCTCACACATTTGTCCGAGTTAGTGATACCCTGATCCCAACAAGAAGGATCAAAGAAGAAGATGCAGGAAACTTACCCATGCCCACATGGTATCCTGAAGATGAGACGGAGCCCATCCCTGAGGAGTTGTTTGATGAGCAGCTGTTCAGGTTCACAGATCCATCCGTTGAGATAACTTCATAGTCTTGTGTGTGTGTGCTGTATGTATGGTGTGTGGGGAAGAAAGACTCTTACACAAGCAGACTTTTCCAAGTCTGGTGTTGTTGCTACTGAGATCAGGTTGAATGATTTTTGTAGGTTCTAGACTTGATGTCTTGTTCTTCAGCATCAAATCACTCTTCTTTTTTGCATTCACCGGCTGTTGAGTCCGGCAGATTTCTGGTTGTTTGTCCACCTCTAGACTTTAATCTTGTTCCAGAATCTGAGTGTTTTGCCTACATGTGTTTTAGGTATCTTATTTATTTGTATACACTGTTGTTCCTGGTCTCTCAGGCAGATGCACTAAGACTTCGAAGAAAGCCCCCACTTCGGTCAACTCTTACAACATGCTTGTGGGGGGCAGCAGTGCATTTGTTCTGATTTTCAATAATGGGGCCCCGGAACCTAGACTGGGAGGATCACACAACCTTGCTTTTCCCTCTTAACTCTACCAGGTCAATGTCCCGCTATTGTGGTAATTTTTTAACTTGCCACTTTACCTGTGTCCAGATTTTTTGGGAATTTGCATACTACGTGATAAAAAGTGCCACAAACTAAAAAAAACCAACCAATCGTGATCAAACCGCGTGTTTGGTCACTGCGAATGACTGCCCTCGTGTGTTTGGATTTACTTTGTGTGGTTTAACGTGAAAAAAATTCTGAAAATTGACAATGAGATGAGCGGCTGATGAACCAAGCACTTTGATAGGAAAGTGAAGTAGGTCTAGGCTTTTCACTGTCCAACAGGTGATCGTCACTTTGGTTGATTCAGACTCTGTTGGGTCATAATTTCATGTAGAATACTTTCCCATTTGAAGTGAGTCAGTGAGAGCTCCAAAGATGAGGAAAATTAAAAATCTAGAAATAGATGGATAGTAGGAAATGGGGGCGTGTTCCTCACACAGCAACATCTGGTGCTCACTTTGTGAAACAAGGCTGATCCTGCTGGGTGAATTAGCATACAAAGGTGGAATATTGGCACTAGGTAAAAGATAAACCAGTGTTACAATGTCTCCAAGTTTCATCATATTCTAGCCCCTTGTTTGCATGTAACTAATATTTGTGTATATCCTGTTGGTTTTGTTTGCATCAACGCTCAGGTATAAGGGGCAGTTAGGTTCAGGGCCTCAGGTCTGGTAAGGTTGAGATTTAAAATTTGTTTCATTGTCTTACAATGTTCTCTGAGATTTGAGTTGAGTAAGGTAATGGAGGCAGTCTACTCATGTCATAGGACCACTCTGGTCTTACATTGGGATAAGTATAATGATGACAGCTGTAGAGCCAGCCTGCTCATCTTGTGAGGCAACAACATTGAGGGAAATGGTCAGCTGTTTGTCCCCTTGATGTTGACACATTGTTACATTTTCTCCAGGAACCAACCTTTACTTGTGGTTCTCTGCATGGGTATTATGTCAACTGATCCCTGGTATTTCTTAGCAGATAAATCTATTTGCCTTTCTTTTCATTTCTTAACTGCTTCTTTACACTTTTAACCAGCTCAGTTTTTTCCAATCGTTGGAGAAAATCTCAGCCGTGCATGTTCTAGTCTCAGATTTGTAGACCAGGCTCTGGAAAGTGGAATCAAGCTGTAATGAATGAGTGTAGACTTAAAGTGTGAACAATCAACGGTAGGTGCTTCTCTTAAAGCCCTGTCTGGCAAGGTGTATCTGAAGATTGGAGTCTGTAAGGCAAAGGTTCTCTTGATATTGGGCTAAGATTCCAGCATGATTTTGTTTAGAATAAATGCCTTTTTTTTTTTTTTGGTTAATGCTTTGTGAAGTTTTTGTGTGTTCATGTGACATAGTGGTTGCGTTTACCATTAAATCATTATGTGTGTTTACTATTAACTCACACAGGTTTGTTGCCTGGTAAAAGTGAGTTAATGAGCAGTCGGCAGCTTCACAAATGTTATAGATCAACGGCAATTCAAATGGTGGGCAGAATCTGACCGGCAAACACCTAGCAAGTGGCCCGCGGGCCATTATAAGTAGCTTTCATTGACCAGTCGGCAGCTGCACAATATTTTAAAGACCTATCAGCAGTTCCTGATCTGTCTCGAACTGTTGGCAATCTAGTAGTGATGTCATAATCAAGCTGGCCTCTTTTACCTTACCGAATCTTGTCTGATTTTAGACTGGGTCAGTCAGGGAGCCAAGTCAGTGTTTGGAACAATTTCCTACGGGAATTTAGACTCCTGACTGCCTAGATGATGAGCAATAGTGCTAGCCACAGCTCTGCCGCGACACCTCATTCACCTCATACAGGACATCCAGTTTTACACCCTTGTTCCAGAATGGTAGTGTCCAATTTCACTGTTCAAGAGATGATGCTATTCAAGATCAACTGTTGGGTAACATCATGGCTCTTTACCAAGATAGTGCACAGTAAGAACAATAGAAGGAATGAAAGACTCGTCCCTCATATTAGGTGTCTGACAAGGATGTGTCCTCTCACAATTGCTCTACATTTACTTACATGGATAGAATTTACACAGGGGTCAAATACAGACTCTGAACAGAATTTGCAACATAATGTTGACTCCTTATATCAAACCTGCACACAGTTATGAAAATAAGCACCATGAAAACTGAGGCAATGAGAATAGGCAGGAAACGTAATGGCATGAACATTCATGTTAATGGCACTACAATCAGACAAACACGAGCATTCAAACATTTAGGCAGCATATTTACAGAAGATTAAAGAAAGAGAGAGAGAAGCCAGAGTACAGAAGGCAAATGCTGTCACCTACCAGCTAGCCTCACTGCTTAGACACTCAAATGTCTCTCTTCCAGCAAATGATTAATAGCATCTTCATCCTTATTTTATGGTATCAGTGCCAAACATGGACAACGAGTAGGGCGGCACTAGAAAATAAAATAACTACTTGTGAAATGTACACTCCATAAGATCACCAACAAGAAGGGACAGGGTTACGAATACCAACGTTAGATAGAAAGATGGAGCAAGACCGTGTCTGAATTACATTGACAAACAAAAAATGAAATGGCTCGGTTTTCCGGTAAGAATATAGCCAGATTAAACTGCATGTGAGACTTTTTAGGGCAGAACATCTGGGAGGAAGACCAAGAAAGAGATGGGTAAACGATGTAGATGAATCCTAAAATCTTGAATTGACATCACAGCGCCCGGGATACTCCCATAAGCACTCCATCCCCATCTTCAACAGTAAACCAAGAGTTCCAATTACGATGGTACCATCAGCTGTCTAACTGTATATCCGTCTCGCCTTTTCCCTGAGTGTTGAGCGTCGGCCAGATACCCGGGTGACTCCTGGCATCACTATTTTCCTCAGACCGTAATGATCTACCTGCGCCTCCGCACTGTTCACTCGCTCCCAGAGGACCCTCACAACATCTAGCTTGTCATACATCAGTTCACTACCAAGTGGTGCAGAGCCAGCCAGTCTATCTGCTTGCTCATTTCTCAACCCACCGGCATAACCTGGAGAGAATATACAAAGGATGCTAACTACCCGGGACCTCTGAAGTGATGCTCTGTGAGTCTGTTACAATCACGGCATGTGTATAGTTTTTTCTCAAGCAAGTGGAATGCAGCAGTTACTGCCTCCACCTCTATCCTCAAAATGAATCTTTTATAAACAATGAACAAATCCACCACATGAAGAGCGCAAGACAAACACAGAAAACCACGACACTGGGTTGTTACAACCTGGTATCTGTGAGACGACGACATTCGAAGAAGAAGCCTTTGTATCCAGAGGCAGATGCTGTAACCTCGTTTAGCTCTTCCCCCCTCCCCCTATTTTTTTCCCCTTCACCCCAAACACAGTAAACTCCTCATTCCCTGACCGACATCATTTTTCTCTCTTCAGTGTAAATATAATAACCTGTCAACATCTATATAAAAAAAAAAAAGCTGTCCCATATGTACCGAATCTGGTCGACATAAAATCTCATGCATGTTTAGTCCAAAGGCCAAAGAAACACTCTGGACTTTGTACCTGGTTATCAGTCACAACAAAACTAACATTAACCAAGAAGTGTAAAGTAATATGCGCTGATAGCATAAACCAAAGTTGACAGACATTTTGTTTTGGTCCTGGCAAGGTTATCCTGGTGTCTGGTTGACACTAGTGAAGTTAATCTCCTATTTTTAGTTTACGACTTGAAGAAACAGACCCTCGTCCTGTGTCTTTTATTGTGTAGCTTACACGAGTGAAGCTATTCTTGTATTGTCAATGTACGGTTTCCTCTCAGCTTGGTTCCTTACTATGTGTTTTATCCCACAGTGGGGCATAGACAGGCTAACTATATTTCTTTGAAGGGACGAATAACGGCACACATGAATAATAAAAACGTCACTGGGTTATTTAGTACTCTGTAAGCCGGGGAGGGGGATGGGTGGCAGGGTGGATCATGACGTTCTTTATGTGTGCCATAATTATTTTCTTCTTCGCGTTCACCGGTGTAAACAAACTTCAGTGAAAAATTCTGGTTGTTCGTCCACCTCTGAGCTTCAGTCGTGTTCCAGAACCCGAGTGTTGCGTGTGCACAGATCTGACATATTTATATGCAGACTGTTAGTTCCTTGCTCTCTCGCAGTTGCGCTCCGATTTTGAAGGAAGCCCCCAGTAAGTCGACTCTTAGATGTTTAATTTTCTTCTTCTTCTTCTTCTTCTTCTTCTTCTTCTTCTTCTCCTCCATCTTCTTAGCGGTCACCGGCTGTAAACTCTGGTGGAAAGTTCTAGTTGTTCTTCCACTTCTGGAAATCTGTCTTGTTCCAGAACTTGAATTCTGCGTGCATATCTGTCTCACATATCTGGCTTATTTGTAGATAGACTGTTGGTTCTTCGCCGCTCAGGCGGATGCACTCCGACTTTCGATGAATAATACCAAATTAGTCGCCTTTTACGACATGCTTGTTAAGGAAGTGGGTCTATTCAGCTCTTCCCTATTTCCAAAAATGGGGTTCCGCACCCACCCACACAGTGATCTACCATA